TATGTTCTCAGACAAAAAACCATGGAACAGAAGCAGGGTATATGTCCTGTTTACATGACTGTATATACATTCAAACACAAACTTAGTCACAGAAAAATGCGTAAGAATGACCATTTTGGTGACAGGATGACATAAATAGCCTCTAGATAAAATGAATACAAAAACTGTTATTTTTAATCATTGTTTCCCAGGCACTATTGGGGACTGGAAGAACCACATGACTGTTGCCCAGAGTGAAAGGTTTGACTGTGTCTTTAAGGAGAGGATGGAAAAGATGCCCTTCAAGTTCTGCTGGGATATTCAGGAGGATCCAGAGCCTATTTCCAGCTCAGTGGATGAAAATAATGTGTGATATAAACTTTCAAATAACTTGAATCAGAGATGACCTTCCAAGAATGGCCTTTATGTAATTGTAATTTTCAATTCTGAACTCTGCAGGGACCATAGGACAGAGTAACATTAAATTCTTCATTATTTTTAAACATTGTACAGCATTTGTTTATTGATTTAAATTTCCATAGCTACCTGAGCAGTGTTGGGTTTCATTTTTTTTCCTTACCAGTTCAGTTTGTGTGACTTGGTGGAGGGCTTCATGTGACTGAGTGGAAGTACGGCAAGGTAGCTCGACACGACTCCACCAAGCCACACCCACCCAAATCATGGCCACTGAATCCACAGAAAAGTTTGGCCAAGTCTTCTAGTGTTCACCCTTTCTGCTTCTTGCCTCCTTCTCAGAGCATGTTTGCTCTGTTTGCGTGAGCCCAAGAAGGAGAAAAGCAGCCATGTTGAATGCCGTGGCAGAAAGAAGCCAAATTTTTCTGCCTCCCTTTGCAGTGGAGGTGCTCGGAAGGCCCATTATGGTCCCCCTTTCCTCTGTGTTGAAGTACCTTAAAGACTGAAGCTGGTGGCTGCCTTTTGAGCAGCTCCGCTGGAATGCTGTTCCTCTGGCATAACAGGCCATTCCCCTGACCAGGTTCGGTGGGCAGCTGCGAGCAGCACTGGCAGGCAATGGGGCACATGGCCAGTGCAAACAGAGCAGCGATGGTGGTGATGGTCACAGGCAACACATTGCATACCAGTTCTACTTGTGCCAGGCCATCAGACATGGCCAGGGAAAAGCTAGCAGTGATTGAGTGGCCAACAGGCAGGCAGGGTTGGGCAAGTGAGCAGCAGACGGGCGGGTGAGGCAAGCAGCCACTAAGAAAAAATATGACAACAACAAATCCAAAATCAACATATTCGCAACAGCTGGACCTATTTATTGTATTTACCGCTTCCCTGAAAATATATATTGGTTGATATATCATCTTAGCCCAACTCCTAAAGGGAAAATCAAGTTTTTAAAGTTTTTTTTGTAATTCTTTGGTATAATGATACATTACAAATACTTCATCAGATGTGAATTGCTCCTGGTATTCACTGGTACCGGCACACCGGTAGCGGAAATCAGCCATAGTTTTGCATACGGGAGCACCGGCAGGCTGGACACTCCCCCATACCATTACGGTTACTGGTTGCCTCCGAGGCTGGAACGGGCTTCAATGCTGCTCTGGTGGGTGAGGCTGCAGGGCGAACCTGGCTGGAAGTTGTTTGTAAATCTCCCCAAAAGAGGGAGAGGAGGAAGTTCTGCTGCTGTCCAGGTTGATTTTATAATAAGAGAAGACCTGGGTATGTTTTTATTAGACAGCCTTTCCTAACAAGACTGATTTTTGCTTACATCATTGTTGGTCTCAAAGTCATTGCTTAATTTGTTTGTTAAATTCCCATAATTCATAATTATGTTTATGAGTTGCTAATATCACCATCCTGAGTAATTCCCTCTGGAGCACTTTCCATTTTGACAATTTAGGAAAGAAGTGTTGTCTTTTGGGCTTACCTGAATGAAATTTAGGTGTAGGCATCAGGGGAGGGTTAATTTGAAAATGAGCAATGAAAGAGAAGCACATCTCTGTACATAACAGAAAGGAAAGGAAAACATTGAAAAGTGTTGAGGAGGGAATTACTCAGGATGGTGATATTAGCAACTCATAAACATAATTATGAATCATGGGGACTTAACAAACGAATTTGAGACTAACAGTGATGCAATCGAAAATCAGTCTTGTTAGGAAAGGCTGTCTAATAAAAACATACCCAGGTCTTCTCTTATTATAAAATCAACCTGGACAGCAGCAGAACTTCCTCCCCTCCCTCTTTTGGGGAGATTTACAAACAACTTCCAGCCAGGTTCGCCCTGCAG